CCAGATGCTGTGTCACTGTGCCGTGTATCATGTCAAGGAATCGTGCCATGTCGCCTTCTGTGTCACCATGCCATGGCACCATGCTGTGTCACCATGCCATGCCACCATTCCAGGTCACCATGCCATGTCACCGTGGCTCCTTGCACTGCAGCAGCATTCCCTATGGATGCCCTCACACTGTGCTAGGCCACTGGCTGTCTGAGCTGTGCCAGCATTCACCAGAGATATCTTCTGATGCTTTCTGATGGGACAGTGCTTGCAGACTTCCCCATGCTTCCCATCAAAAAGAAAAAGGCATTCAGACAAACGGGGAGAGCAGCTTTTATTTGCATAAGTTTTTGCAGCCAAAAGCAAAAGACGGTGGCATCGGAAAGGGTTTCCTAAGAGCTGGTAGGCTAAAAGGGCTCTGAAGAGCCTGGTTTGCATCCAGCCAGGAACTGCAGTCGTTACTGCTGCAACCAAAATAAATCAATTCCAGTTCTGCAGGATGAACGCGGGAGGCACGGGCTGCTCCGCTCCCATCTGCAGCGAGGTACAGCTGGGCTTCACGTCAGCTTTGAAGCTCGCAAGGCTGAGATAAAAGAGAAATGCTAAAACCTCGTGCAAGCAAGGAGAGCTGGATGGTGGGAAAGCCAGGCTGCAGTGCATGTCTGAGAGCTGTCTGTCTGCCTGTCCATCTGGTGACCTCCATCTCATCACAAGCAAGTGCAAGGTGGAAGCACAACCTGCAGCACAGGGCACTTCAGCTGCACAGAACCCAGCAAAGCAACAAACGCTCCTCCCAGAGCCGAGGCCATGCTGACTCCACCCGGTTTGCACGAGCTTCAGAGCAGTTTGGGGCAAAAAGCTGTGAGCCTTTGAAAGAGCATTGCAGCTCTGTAACAGAGCGTGAAGCCAGGCGGGATTCACACAAGCCTGACGGGTTCAGCAGGGGAATGTTGGGAGAAAAGCAAATCCAGATTGATAGAAAGCTCCATTCATCTCAGAGGGATCCAAGCCACAAAGAAATGGATCTAAATGTCAAACATTCCCCGGGTTTTGTGGTATTCCAAACCAGAGGGCTGGGCGGACCCATTGCACAGATGAAAACCAGGTGCAGAGAGCTGTTGTGAGGTGGGCTTGGATGACCGGGCACAAAGCCTGTGGGTCTCCAGATTGAGGGTTTCATTTTAGGGACATTCAATTCCAAGTAAATCCGTGTGATTCTTGCCAAAAGTATTCCACAGCATCCTATGGAGCCAGGTTGGCCGCTCAGTGCTGTCTGGATGGCAGTGAAATGCTGTGGCTGCCATTGACACATCGACATTCACTGTGCCACTCTCCAAGGCTGCGTTGTGCAGATGCCCTGGGCTGCCAACTGCCCTCAACCCCAGCAGCAAATGCAGCTGCTGCCAAAGGTGCCACCCAACCCCCATTGCTTCTGGGGGAGCTCTTAGATCCCATTTGGCACTGTGGTGCTTTTGCCTATGGTGGTGCTCGTGAGCCAATGCAGCACAGCAAGTTGAATGCATGTGCATGAAGTCTGCTACCCCCTGCACCCACAGCTTTCTGCAGAGAAAGCAGAGGACCAGGAGGGGCACGTAGAATCACAGAATAATAGACTGGCTCAGGTTGGAAGGGACCTCAAGGATCTTCAAGCTCCAACCCCCCTGCTGCATGCAGGGCCACCGACCTCCATATCTAATACTAGACTGGGACGCTCAGGGGCCCAACCAACCTGGCCTTGAACACCTCCAGGGATGCGGCATCCACAGGGCAGCTTGTTCCATCACCTCCTGCCACATCTTTCATCAACACTGAGACCTAAAAAAGCCATTTTTCAGCTAACACTATAAAGCAAAGCTGCCGCTTTCCATGGAGGCTCAGCACACTTGACAGAAACTCTTTGTGGGGGGGTAACTGGAAATAATAGGAAGGAAAATCAAAGCCTTTTTTGGGGACATGTCCGAGGCAAAGAGGAGATAAGGTAGAATGAATTATTTCCTGACATCAGCTGATGGGAGGCCTGCAGGACGCAGAAGCCTCAGTCCTTCCCCTGTTCCATAGGCTGGGCTGGGAGAGGAGGATGGGGAAGAAGAGCCTAAGGATGGTGCCTGCTGATCATCACCACGAGTAAAATGAGCTGCTTCCCTGAACCTGAAAAATATCAAACTGCATAAATAAATCTATTTAAATTATTAATAAACGAATTTACATTCGGAGCCTGAGAAGGAGAATTAATTTCATTTCTTATGCTAAACTGGCCAGCATGGATGATGACTCAAGAATTAAAAGATGCAGAAATGAAGGGAAAATGAAGGTAGGCCGGCTCCATCAGAAAAGAGATGCGAAGTGGGGATCCTGGGTCCAAACAAAGCCATCAGCCATAAGCAAGAAGACCAAAACTAACCTGCAAGCTCTGGGGGAGCCCGAGCCCCCCTCTGCTGCCCATGCATCCCGTGTCTCTGCCAGCACTTTGGGGGACAACAGCCCTCAGTGCAGAACCCCATCAGCTGGCTGCTCCCAGGGCAATTAATTAGGAGGTGCTCCCAGCCCCTGGCATTCCTCCTCCATCCCTTCCATTGGGAAACGGCATTCGTGACGGATGGCGTATGAAAACCCACTGCTAAAACAATCCTCTCCTCATCTGCCCTCTCGCTGGAGCCTGTCTGCAGTGCTCTCCAGGATGTATTGTTATTTCGTGTGATGAGACATTCCAGAGAACGAAATAAAATAAAAATAGACATTTGGAGGGGTTTTTGTATTGCTTCTTTGCAGCTCCCCACACTGTGACTCCTGTGAAGGCACTTGTCGGGCTGATCCGCTGGCGCTGCCGCCTCGGCTGTCCTTGTGCTGGAGACACTGCTCTTTTAAATTCGGTTTCTCAGAATTAGAAGAAAAACTTGGCAAAGCAACAATAGGGAAAAAGAAATATGAATAATCTCAGAACAGAAATTGCATTATGTGATGTGGTTGCCATGTGGTTAAGTCTGAGAGAGGATCATGCGAGCGCATTGTGGGAAAATTGATAACAGGCTGAAGAATACGGAGCGTTCAGATCGGAGGGCTGCAGTGCCAACCCTGAGCCAGTGCAAGGGGCTCAGTGCTGGGCAATGGGATGGGGATGGGGGCACCTGCACCGGGGTCTGCAGCCCCTGGGGTGCTCAGCTCCAGGATGGATGAGCTCCCTCAATAAGCCCCGAAATCTCTCAGGGTGTCACACAGCCCGTCTCAGCTGCCACCGAAACTGCAGCCAGCACTGAGATCCGTGCCACCCACCCCTGCCTAAGCTCTGTGCACTCTGCTCCACTGGGGACGGTGCCCACAGCCATCAGCACTGTGTGTCTGTGGCCACGTTGACCCCAAAGCATCGCCCCCAGAGCGCTGACTGGGAGGAAACACAGATTGCAGATACGCTGGGATTCAGATGGTTTGGGGGAAGTAATCATGAATGATGAAAGCGAATTTTGCTCCCCAAACTGTGCGAGCTGTGATCCATCCCCGCCCGCTGGCTGTCGTGCTACGGTGGTTTGAGTGGGAGGAAAGTCAGCACTGTCAGCTGAGCGGCAGGAAGCTCAGAAAGCGTGGGGAAGTGCATGCACACACACTGAAAAAGGGGTAAATTCTGTGAAATCAGATCAGCAATGCAAATTCTGCTCTTTTCTTGCACCGTGGCTCACTGACAGCATGCACAGTGCCATCAGCCCAGTGCAGCACAGCAGAGGGGATGTCCATGGTGTGCCCCATCGGTCCCAGCAGGTCCTGCCTCCACCCAGCCCTATGCAAACCATGCAAAGCATGGGGAGGTGAGAGGAGAGCAGGTGCCTCTGTGGCCTTCTCAGTGCTGTAGCTTTTGGGGATCCTTAGGACAGAAGGATGCTGGGGCTGCACATTCATTCCTGCTGGGATGGGGATGGGGGCACCTGCACTGGGGTCTGCAGCCCTCGGGGTGCTCAGCTCCAGGATGGATGAACTCCCTCAAAAAGCCCCGAAATCTCTCAGGGTGTCACACAGCCTTCCCTGGGGGTAGGATTCTGTCTGTGCATTGCTGCTGCTGAGCACCTGTGTACTCTGTGCCAGGAGTGCTGAACAACAACTGGAGAGATGGGGCAGCAGCTGGCTTGGGGTCTGCAGGTACAATATGGGACCCTGGACAGTATCCAACATCAGAGCCTCAGGACAGCCAGGGCTGAGTGCACACAATTAGGGAGCAAGAAGGGCAGCAGGACTCCAAATCCTAATTTGGCCTGATGAAAGCTTAATGATTCCAGCTTGACGATTGCCGGAATGCCCCAATTTCCTCATTCCAAAAAGCCCCCACTGCCAAGGCTTGGGTGGAGCGGACACGCATGGTGCTGCAGCTCCGAGGGGTGGCAGGAACAGAGCGAGGATTTCAATGGCTGAGGCACAGAGAAGGATTCCTGCGAGCAGATGAGCCGGTAATCTAACAGAAGTGTGGAATTAGAGTTTTTTAATGAGGGTTTCAGAATGAGTAGCAGCCTGGTAGCACAGCCAGTGCAGGAGAGCAGCTATTTGAAGGGAAGCAAAGCAAAGGCTGGGACCCTTCAGCACCAGCTCCCTGCCCCCGAGGTGCCCCTGCCCTGGGGCTGCACCCCCGCATTGCTCCTGTGCAGGGTTTGTGGATGGGAATCACACAGCAGTGCAGCTGGGGAGCAGCAGGAGAACGCTGCTCCTCTCCCAGAGCCCGTCGCGATGGCTGCAGAGCTCCATCCCTGGAGGAGACAGATGGGAATCCAGCTCCTATCTGCATGCAGCTCTGGGCCCCGTGAAGCTGTCTGTGCAAGGGGGGAGCGGGGCGGCCGCAATGCGCACAAGGTGCTCTCGTCATGAAAGCATCTTTTGATTTTGTTATTGCAGCTATCAAAATATTGCAGAGTTCAGAGCATTCCGCAGGGATCCCCGCGCTCTTCAAAGACCGGAGGACCACGACTGGGGAAAAAGAAGCCTTTAATTACGTCGGTTTCCACGCTTGTTTCTGCAGTGGAGTTCCTTTAAAAAAAAAAATAGTTTTAATGAGAGGAAACACATATGGCCCCGTTGTTCAAACAAGGAGAGATACAGCTGATTTTTTTTTAATAGGCAGCAGTTCCTTTGGGTCTCCTGGAGCTCACATCGAGGGGCTCTGCACTGAGCGCCCCCAGCAGCAGGGCTATCGGTGGGGCAGAGCAGCTCCATCCCAGCCCCATGCCATCCATCACCCCCTCTGTTCCCACTGCAACTCTCTCCTCCTCCCCTGCTCCTTCCAACCACGCGGAGCCGCATGCAGTGGGATCTCAGCATGGCCATCCTCCGTGAACGCTCTCGTTTCTCTCAGATGTTCATTTGAATCCAAATGGAAAAGCTCACTTTTCCCACAGTGTAAATATCAGTGCCGTGTATGACGCAGCAGAAAGCACGGGACAGCCCCACATTTCAAAGAGCATCTTGAGCATATCCTTCTAATAAATAATCCTATCTGGCAAATTTAATTAACGGGCTGCAGTGCGTGGTGCAGCCCGCTGGATAGAGTATCTCCATCTGATCTGTAATGCTTTTAGAAGCTTTAAGTATTAATAAAGAGTGTTTTGTTCAAGAACTCACAGGGGACAATTACAAATAATTGCCAAGAAGGGTGTGTGCCTCATTTAAGTGACTGCATATTAAAAATGATGAAGGATTAAAAAAGAATTCATAGCATTGGAGTGCAGCAGCGGTGGCTGCCCCTGTTGCCATCCCTGCAAGGGATGCTTGGTGCAATTCGGGCTTCCCAGCCCCAGGGCAGAAGGAGCTGAATGGAGGAGTGGAATGGCCAACGGAAGACAAAACCCACCAAGGAATCCAAACCCAGAAAACCACATTAAAATTATCACACCGCAAAGTTTTTCTGGGATTGTTTCCCCATTTTTCCTGCCTTGGAGCTATAGAGTGGGGTTTCCCCCTCCACTTCTCCTACTAATTGGGATCAGGGCACGAGATTCACAGCAGCCAAAAAGTGCTCATTCCCTTCCGTGATATCAAGGCAAGGAAGAGGGAAACCTCCTTTGAAACGACTTCTCATGGCAGCAGGGCGTACAAGGAGCAGCACTGCAGGCGCTGTATGTGCAGCACTGGCATTGGGACCCTCCATTTCTTTACAGCTCTCACTTTCCATGACAATGGAAAAGAAAGAAACTTCCAGCACGCCTTTCTCACCCTGCAGGCAGCAAGACACAGGCATCACAGTGCCCAAAGAAAAGCTCTGTTGGGACCCAGCAGTACAGATCAGAGAGGCACCCACCGATGCCAAAAAGCGGCACTCTTAGAACCACCATAAAGACATAATTTTGCTGCTTTTTCACATGCAAATAACAAGTCAGGAGAGCAGCAGCTCTGGCACAGAGAGCAAAGCAGGGCTCAGGAGGGACTGTGCCAATGTCTGGGTGATGAGGTTTGGATGGGAAAGCCCAAAGCTATGCCTGTAAGCCGCCCTGCTTGGGGCCAGGGTCTGAGCTCACCAGGTCTCCTTGGGGATGGCACTGTGGGTTCTCTGCCCACGCCACCTGCAGCACCTGGGATGGGGGCTGAGAGCATCCCCCCCCACGTGCTCCTGCTCCGCTACCATCAGCCAGTACCGAGGACAGTAGGGACAGAAGGATTGGGCTGTCCACCCTCCAAGCCAGAACGCGTGGCTCAGTGAACACCAGCTTTGGGAGCTGTTTCCAGCTGTTTGGGAGCAATGCCTCCTCCAGAGCCAGGAGTACCTCAGGGCTGAGCCCCGTGATGTACATGGGGCTAACGAAACCCAGAGCGTGAGGCCAGCACAGACCCAGCCCCGTTCCCAGACAAGAGCTCTGCCAGGGATGGGTACCAGTGCCGGCATTGAGGTATCAGTGCCAGAATGGATACAAGTGCTGGAGGCACGGCCCCGAGCAGCCCTGCGCTCCCGTGGCAGCCAGCTCACCGCAGCCTCTCAATCTGGGAAGGGTCCACCCCAGCCCTCTGGAGCTCAGCTCAGCAGACACACAGATCCCCCACCCGCTGCCATCTCCCCGTGGGACTGGCAGCAATAAATCCTGCCCGCCGCAGGCAGTGCCATGCCCCCTCATTTTCCATGAGATCCGCACGCAAGGCTTCGGCTCCAAACATCTCCTTTTGATTTCATGGGGAAGGAATGCTGTGAACTTCAGTTTAGAGAACCAATTTATTTCATGCAATTTCTCCTCCTCGTAGAAGCAGCTCTGTATTCCAAGCCGTGATTTTCCAAAATAAAAGCAGCAGTTAACCATTGGAGCGGAGCGATCCGCCTCCGCCTCGCTTCCCCTATTGCTGTGTTTCAGAACTTTGCTTAAAAATGGAAAGGGGCACCTTTAAAACTTTAATACCACGTAAATGTTCCAGTCTCGCTGCTGCACCAGATCGTTCAGCAAAGTAGCTAATTAAAAAATGGCTGCTGTGATGACAGACTAGATTAATAGTTTTTGAAGAGCAGCCAGTGCACCAACTGCTCCCGTAGCCATGCTGAAAGCTAATAATGTAGAAAATTCTGCCAATTCTTTTAATTCATGAATATTTAAGCCTGTGAAAAATCTGTCAGATTATAGCACTTTTCTGGTGATTTTCTGCTTAAGTACATTTATGGGCAAATGCCAGTTGCTCAAGAAACTTCAGTGGAACGCAAAGACTTTTTATTGTCTGCGCCGCCAGAGCCCTTTTCCTCCTCCCATCGCCTTCCAGCCGGTGCCAGGATCAGCTGTGGGCACAGCACTCCCACTGGCGTCCACTGGGATCCCAGGCAGGGATGACCCATCTGCATGGTAACAGGGATGGGGAGGAGCAACAGGTGATTCCTATTAGAGAATTATATACATATATATATATATATATATATATAGCATATATATGTTAACTTTTGTAGGAGCACAAATCCTGAGTTTTCCAGCTAGGATCACTCCCAAAGCTCCTCAAGGGATGTGTCCAGGTCAGACAGACTGCAGTATCCCCAGCCCTACAGCAGCAGGCAGCTCCCCAGCTCACTGCTCATCCACAGCACCGCCTGGTGACTCACCTTACAGCTACTGAAGAAACAATTACCCCAGCTGGGAGCATAACCTGCCCAGCCTTCCCTCACAGTGCCAAAGGCCAGAACTCCCCATGAGCGGTTCCTGCACAGCTATTCTCCAGCCCACCACAGCAGGGATGCTCTTTTCCATGAAACTGGGAGCAACACGGTGGGTTTTGCTCAAGCTCCCAGCAGAATGGATGGGATGGTTGGTAAGGGGCTGCAGAGCTGCATCCCCCGCAGCGCCCACAGCCTGGGGATGTTCTGCACCCTGCGTCCCAGCATCTCTGAGTCACCACTGAACTGCTGCTCAGCTGCACCCGTGTGCAGGAGGACCTCATTCCAAAACGCTTTGGAATGCACCAAGTGGTTTTGTGACTTTGAAACAAAAAAAAGAGGAAACTCCAGCAGAACTCAGAACATCCACAGAGCTGAAAAGAGCGTCTCATCCCAACGCAGCTGTTGTGGTGGGGAAGAGAAAACCTGCCCTGGAGCCGCGTGCTGGGAAGGTTCATGTTTTTAAACTTGAGCCCCAAGTGTCCTTCGTGCTGTCAGGTCACATCAGCCCCTTAAACGTTACACAACACTGCTGTGTAATTAAATGCTTACAGGATTTGCAGACTGCTTGTCTCACAGCTGGGAATGGCTCCTCCAAAGCTCTCAGGTTTGGCACATCAGCTCCTCGCACCAGGGATGCCCACACCTGGGCTGTACCAGCACAGCACAGAGTGGGATGCAGCAGGAGGCAGCAGCCAGCCCCGAGCAGAGGGTGGGGGCAGAGGGGTTGGGGCCCAGCAGGTTTGGGGCTGCCCCATTGCAAGCGGAGCAGCGGCGAAACTTCCCCTTCCTCTCCTCACCACCTTCAGCCACTCACAATGTCACTCCAGCTGAGCAAGAAGCAATTATGATTTAATTACCCCACTGCTCTTCAGCAGAATTTTTGGAATAGCGGTTTCTGCGGTGCCTCATTTACCCTTTTCCTCTTCACCTGCATTTGTTCTGCATGGTGCTGTTGCTGCCCAGCCACGACCGCACGGTCACCTCGTCTCCCTCCCCTCGCAGCACCCACACGGCACAGGCAGGGCACGATGAGAGCTGCTAATTCATAAATATTTAACACCCAGCTCTGCTGCCTCCTGATAGCTTTTTTCCAGAGTTTCTATTCTCATCCGTATTCCACCCCCTTCCCCTCCCTTACGGCCCTCCTCGTTTTTTTCCCTTCCTTCTCGCCGGGCATTAATCCAAGTGCTGAGATGACTGTTTCACTTCCCCGCTGTCATCAGTTGTTTTTATCTTATCTGGGCCGTGGATGCCAGTCAGCAACCCGTTGCGGTCTTTCCAGTTGAGTCCTGACCTCCGCAATCAGCCTCAAGATGTCCTGTAACGAGCAGATACGGTTACTCAACTTGTCCATCAGCACTTCTGGAGGGGGGAAAAAAAGGAAGCACAAACCAGCAAATGGTGGCACGAGGCAGGGCTGTGGGCTGCGGGTGGGCTGGGCTGCTCCCTGCAGGCAGGTGTGCCCGCTCCAGGCCCTCGCATCGGCACCGCATGGCACAGAGAAGCCTCTGCAAACCAAGTGAGCTTTAGGGCTGCTTGTCCTCCCGCCTTCAGGAGCAGCAGGAGGATGTGCTATGGGGCTGCGGTCTGTGCTCCCCGGGGGTCACACTCACCCCACTGCCCCCAGGCAGAGATGAACACCTGGGGGCTGCGCGCTCCGTGCCCGCAGTGCCGTCCTGCATACACAGGTGCCCACGTGTGCTTGGCTCTGGTGCTGAGCGGAGGGAGGAAAACTCACCCCAGCAAACAGGATTGCCACCTCCTGCATCCCTGAGCACAGCCGTCCATCTGTCCGTCTAATGATACCACGGAGGGCAAAGCGAGGCCAGCGCAGAACCAGATCCACTTTATAGACTTATCACCCGGTGTAAAAATGTCCTGTTGGATTTATCCGACATGTGTTCTATCAACGTGCTCCGCTCTGAAGTAAAAGGGCTTTTAGTTACAGCAGATTGGAGGGGGTGTGGGGAAGGAGAAGGGATGGATTTGGGCTCTGCCAGCAGCTCTGGTTGCTTTTGCATCAACGTCTCTATTTTCTAAGGGAGGATTTAAGACCTCGTTGTGTACGAGCAACCGAGACAGGAGAAACTCGAACGGGGAGAACCGTAAAAGGTTGTACTGAAAAATGCTATTAGTCTGCATGAAATAAGATTCTTCCTGGAAACATGACACTGAACATCGAAGGGAGGGGGAGGAAGAGCTGTAAAATGGCTGCAGAAAAAAAGGGTTACAAATTAAATATGATAAAAAGAATCCTTTTGAATGAGATCTTAATTTAACCTCAACATCATGACCGTATATTTCAGGAAATTAATCCCTCGGCCTGCAATAAATCCCAAGGACGGTACGACCACTTATGGCTCAGCAATGAGCCATTACTATGGGTTGCAGATGCCGCAAAGCCATCGTGCCATTACTGAGGGGTGCGCAGAATAACCCAGCTCCGTGCAGCGCCCACACAGCTCCAACTGCTGCAGCACTGACCTGTGAGCCAACCTGCACCCAGACTCACATCTGTGCCCTGAAGGAGTGCTGGGAGCTGCCCACGGGGCCGTGCACCCCAGCATTGCACCAGATCTGCATCTACTCTCAGTGCAGACCAACCACGGACAGAAGTGCAAACACCAGCACCTCACGGAGCCTTCCCTGCTCCCCCATGCGCTGCCAGCTTGGCACCCAGCACTTCCACATATGCCCCAAAAGGAGGAGAAGAACTTCTAATGAGTCAAGGCTGTAACCTTGCTCTGAGAGCAAACATATGCCACCGCCGCTCCCTTGGCAGCAGCACTTGGAGCCAGTTGCTGTCAATTCCATTCGGGCTGCAGCCACTTTGGGGCTCTCGATAAGGAGCAGACAGAGCAGGTGAGGAGCGCCGAAGCTTTGCAAGTGTCGGTGAGCTGCTGGCAGAGCTGCTGCAGCCCTGCTTCGCGTTGGAGGTGGTGAAATGCGTGAGCAGCTCGATTCCTCCTGGGGGAATATCCCTGTGCACTGCTAGGGATATTGCTGAGTGCTCTGTGGGGTAAAAGGCAGTGCACTCCGCTGACCCCACGCACAGCCTTTCTCCCCGGCAGCACGAGGTAGCAGAAGTGAGGAAGCGTCTATTGGGATAGGCAGCCCTGAGCAGAGCTGGCCCAGAGCAGTTCAAGCTGGGAAATGCCTTTTTGACACGAGTCAAGTTCCCCACTGAAAATTTTTGTCAAAACTTTCAAGGTAATAGCAAGAAAGAAAAGCCAACCCCAACAAATCCGAGAGCACCCTGGGAAGCACTGTCACAGTGGGGGGAAAAAAAAAAGCTGCAAGTGTGATTTCTGCTGGGGAATGGTGAACAGGGGCGGGCAACATCCCCAGCTCTGTGCCCCACGCCAACCAGCAGAAAGGAGCCCCAGCAGCAGCCAACCCCAGCAGCACGTTCCCTATGGCTGCGGTGGGACCGCGGCGCCGCCGGAGGTTCCCACCTGCAACCATTGCGTGCAGCGGGAGGAGGAGCGGGCTGGGAACGAGGGGTGCTCTGCTTTCTCATCAGCCACCGAAGTTCTCGTTTGCTGCGCAGCCCCGTTCCCAGGCTGCCCGTGCAGTTGATGCTGCAGCGGATGCTGTGGTTTGCTCGTCTGAAATAAATTGCGCAACAAACTCAGCCCAGCGCTGAGCAGCATCAGCTGCAGCAAAGCAGCTCTAATAGTGCTGGTCCTGTGCGTCCCGCTGGGGGACTTTCAATTGACAGAGTTACAAGAGATGAAATATTCAGTAGGATTAAGAATTTGGAGGAGGTGGAAATCAAAGCGAAAAAGAAAACAAGTAAAAACAGCTTAATCTAGCCTTCTAGCACTAATTGTCATTGGGATTCAGGCTAAAACAAACACAACAAAATGAGCTGCCAATTTGAAAGGGGAAGGAAGAGGGTGAACACGATTCCCACCGCATCGAAAGCAACCTTTTATCTCTCCTCCACCGCAGACAGAGGCACGTGGGGCACGGGGCCACGCCTGGGACAGCCCCAACCACACAAGCAGGATCTGAACCTCTCAGTGCTGGGCAGGGCTTTATCTAAGCGGCCATCACCCATGGCACGAGGGCTCCAATGCAACATCGCCCCAACATGGCATCGCTCCCATGCAACACTGCCCCAGTGCAACACTGCCCCAACATGATATTTCTCCAATGCAACACTGCCTACTGCAACATTGCCCCACCATGACATGGCCTCAAAGCAACACTGCCTCAACGTGGCATGGCCCCAATGCAACACTGCCCCAACATGGCATGGCCCCAATGCAACACTGCCCCAACATGGCATGGCCCCAGTGCAACACTGTCCCACCACGACACGGCCCCCACCTGTGGGTGCCTGCAGTCCCATGCAGGAGAAGCAGTGCAGCTCTGTGCCCACACGCTGTGGGCAAAGGCACCAGCAAGGCAGATTAGCTTACAGCCGAAGCGGAGTTATCCAACACTGCAATTTAAGTTGACAATTACATGGTAACCGACTTGCACACAAAGAGAGGCTCTGGAAGTATTCCCAGAACGCAGAAGTCTGACAGTATCCACCCAATTTGTTGCAACAACAAAGAATACTGGAATATGTCCTTTCATTTGGCAGAGTACTGTTTTATTTTTTTAGGCTAGGTGGAGAAATTTAGCCTGCTATTTAAGGAGCTTGTTGTGCCTTGAGAGTGACAAGCCAAGAGTTTCACTAGAAAGCCAAACTCAAACACAAATTGTATCCTGCCACCCGTGAGACTCAATTGCATTGAAGGAAGGAATTTGCAGAGCCTCATCTGCTGCTGGGGTCTGCCTTTCCAACCCTACAGAGACATAACTGGGGCCTTTCATTGCTCCCTTATACAATCCCCCCTCTTTGCACAAAGGAAGAGAACGCATTTCAGCAGGCATTTGTATGGGCTACTTTTTTTTTTTTGAGCATTCTCCCCATGCCAAAGCCATCTCATTTGCGGGTGTTTGTGCCCACAAAAACTAAAAAGGAGATTTTGTGTGTTAGATTATGATATTTGCAGGCTACAGAGACAAAGCCTTTAGGGAAACACATGGCCCCAGGGGGGAAAAGCCAAAGGAACCCTGAAAGCAGGAGATGGAAATGCATCCCAATGGAACAGGAGGCAAGCAATGGGCTTACCTGCACCACTGAGCCATTCGGCCCCTTCCCAGCGCCCATGTCAAAAGGTCAGCAGCACAGCCATCTCTAGGGACTTTTTTTTCTTGTGGCCTCACTTCTGGTGGAAATTAGTCAGCTTTCCAGAGCAGAAACCTCAAGCCATAGCCACACTTCTGAGCCAGCTCATCACTGTCACCCCTCCACAAACCACTTCCTTCCCGATTACCATCAGTCTCCCCGGCGTGATGAAGGGGATTCAGCCCTGCACGGGGCCATGGGGAGGGGCTCAGGGAGCTCCTGTGGCACGTGGGCAAGGAGCAAGCAGGGAAAAAGCAGCAGTGAAGATGTAAGGTGGTGATGGGGCACAGCAGGGGTGGGCAAGGAGTGGCAGCCAGGCACACAATGGGGCACCGGGAATTTGCTTGCACCTGGGACAGGCACAGACCTCACTCCTGTTTCATCAGCAACCAGACCAAAGCTCGCACCTGCCCGCACACGGCATCGACCCCCACACGAGGAACAGTCTTTCTGAGGGGGACAACTTGGGCTTCTGTGACCTGACAGAGCCAGCTGGGCAACAGACAGAGAGGCCCGCACCCTGAGTATATGGCAATGGTGGCTGAGGGCAGCCCTGTCCTGCCCCCACCACCCTCACGTGCAGCCAGCTTGGCTCCCAGTCCCGGATTTTCCCCCCCAAGCTCTGCTCCTGCACAAACAGCTGCAGTTGCACAGACCCCCCTGGGGCAGCTATGGGGCAGCACCACTCTGTGGGGTTCCGTTGCGATTTGCAAACTGCCACCGCCGCCTCAATGCCTTCCCCTGCCACCCCTGTGCTCCAGCTCTGCAAAACCTGCCTGCCTGCCACAGGCCAAGAAAACGCAGCACAGCCTTCGTTGGAAGAGAGGAGTGAAAATGAGTTGCTTTCACCCCCAAACAACCATCTTTCATCCTCAGACCCACGAGGGCACAGGCAGAGCCTGCAGCCATCACACTGTTCATTTCATGGGCAGGATTTATTCATTACAGCACCAGGCAGCAGCGAGGCCCCAAGCACGATCCCCAGGGTGCAGGGCCGTGTTTGTACCGAGTTCCCAAATGACTCACCAGAAACCAGCCCTGCTCCGGTGAGGCCTCAAGCAGCTGCAGGTCCCCCTCCCATGCTGCGGTCCCCATGTCCTGGGGAAGTGGGACTGCCATCCCAACCTCCATCCCCATCCCAATCCCTACCCCATCAGATCTCAAAACCCATCCACAACCCCAACTCCAATCCCTTTCCCCATCCCGGAGGATCCCCATCTGCAGCCATGGTGAGGCAGGAGCAGGACCTGCTCACCCTGCAGGAGCAGCTCCAGCACAACTGCTTCCACCCCTCATCCAGAGCAGCACATCCCCCAGGCCAGCACCAGGCCACAGAGGTTTGTTTTCTTTAGAGAGGATCTTGGTTTGAAGGGGAAAAAAAAAAGTCCCCATAAAAAAAAAAAAAAAAAAAAAAAAAAGAATAAAAAAGAAAAGAAAAAGAAACCACGGCCACATCCTGCCTTAAACTGCTGCTCGTGATGTGCCGACGCGGCTGCACAGAGCAGTGCTGGGGGTGGCAATTCTCCTCCGCTCGCCAAGTAACACTTCAGCTCTGAGTCAATCGGCTGAAGCCACAAATCCATTTGCTTACGAGCACGAAACCACAGCGACCCACGGTGCTCCTCGGGGCCACATGTGCCAGCACCTGCCTGCACCGAGCTGAGACAGACAGGCTGCATCGCCAGCAGCACACAGCAGTGCAAAGCAATGCCCCCTGCCAGCACCCCCACTTTGCAGGGTGGGATGGGCTCCATCTCTGGCAGCGCCGGGGCAGGGGCTGCTATGCTCTCAGGCACCTCTTCCCACAGGTGCAGGGCTGGGCAGGCGCAGCAGCAGGTAACCCCCCCAGCACGCGGGGTGTTGAAAGCCAGCACTTTTCCCCTGTGGGTTACTACGCACTCAATGTGGGTGGCTCGTGACTCACCAACTCTGTTTCAGAGCCTACAGGTGCTGCTGGCATGGGGAAAGGCAGCAGCTGGGCACTGGGAGAGGGGGAGAAAACCCCAAGCTATTGGAGGATGCTGAGCCCGGCTCCCAGCTGCCCCTGCACAGCCCCAGCATCCCCCATGGGAGGTGCTGTGGGGCACAGGGCTGCTGTGGGCTGTGCACAGTGACCCACAGCACTGCTTCACTGCCAGACAGGGCTGCGCTCTGCAGTTAGAGGGAGAAAAACAATGACACAGGAGAAGAATGTAGGAGAGAAACAGCCCAGTTCCTGGGGGAGGTGTCATCTGCACAGTGGAACTGCCCTCTCGGGGGCTTTGATGGCTTCTGAATTGTTTTACTGTGCCACTGAATCACCAGGGGAAATCCTGCACCGGCAGCAAAGCCTCATCCCAGTGCTCAGCTGTGAGCAGGGATGCTCTGTGTCCTTTGAAGCACTGTGGGCACCAGGAGCCACAGCCCTCCATCTGAACTCAAGGCCAGGTGACAAAGCAGTGACACCGTGTCCATGCAGCTATAACACAGCACACACCACAAAGCAGCTCCAGGCCCCCCCTTGGGGCTCCCCTGCCCCACACAAGCACTGCATCTCTGAGCAGCAGCGAGCTTGGCTGGCTCCATGGGCAGCCCTCACCTCCAGCACAGCAGCCCCCAGCACCCCTTCCTTCAAGTTTTCACACTGCAGCTGGCAGCACCAACCCCCGCCCCCCCCCCCCCCCACCACATTAACCTTTTTTGCTCCATCATTAAAGAAACCCAACAGTTTATACACTTTCTTTTTTTTTTCCTCCTTTCCTTCTCCTGCGTGGTTCTTCACTGTAATCTGCCCTGAATATTTAACGCAGAATCCCTCGTGAGAGCAAGTAGTGTTTTTATGGGCATTAGAGGCAAACTCTCGCAAAGAAGAAGTGGTAATGAGTACCCCTGAGTACCCTCTCAGTTTCACAACTGCCTGTGTTTAAAAACAAGCAGGAATTGGGCAAGTGCTGCTCACAGGGGAGCGCGGCAGCCGCTCTCTCCCAGCGATGTGCTTTGCTCCCATAGCCCGGCGCAGGCAAACACCACTTGTTTATTCCAATTGAAGCCGACACCAGAAGTGCTCCGGACCCGAGTTTGTGTGTCCTGCTTTATTTCCAGCTCGGATAAACGGCATCTCTTTAATTTCTGATGGCCTGAGCAGGGGCTGGTAGTGGTGTTCCAGCAGCTCTGCAGCTGTGTGCACACATTCCCCCCTCTGACTACCAGCACCACGCGGTGCGGAGCAGCTCTCATCCCAATTACATGGGACGAGTTTGCAGGAAGCTTCTCATCACCCGCGCGCTTCTTTTTCACGCCCTGCTCTCTGGTTTAACACAGCAGGCACGCTCCCTCTCCTTTTCAAAGAGAAAATATTCCTTTTCATTTCCACAACCCTCTCCATCATCACCCGGAGCAAACTCTGCGCAGAGCTGCACTGGGATGCAGCGGCGCACTGAGCAGCGCCGGGAGCTCTGCAGGGCCCAGCGCAGCACGGCTGTGATGGTTGGGCACCGGGGGCTCATCCACAGCCACAACGTGGGGCAGAAGCAGCCCTGCAGTGCTCAACGGTGCAGAGCTGAGTGCTGCATGGAGCCGCGGCCGTGCTGAGGCACAGGCTGTGATCAGTTCAGCAGGGCTTTGTGAGTTGATTAGCAGCGTTCAGCAGGGCCACAGGGCTCCCTGCGCCTGGATATCCCATGCAATTTCTCCTTCTTTTGCCTCAGGAGGAATCCATGCGCAATCCCTCACCCACGCAACAGCCCCAACAACAGTCACACTTCCCACACGGTCCCAGACAGCCCCTGCACAGCCTGTTTGCAGCCTGGTGGGTTGCATGGTACTGGTGAGCACTGGGGGCTCGAGGGTGGGAATGGCTGCACTTGGGGTTGCAGGTGGGCTCTGAGAGCAGCCCCAGCCTGCAGAAACCCAAGGAACAGCTCTGGGTCCCCTGAGCTCACTGCCATCCCCATCCGCTGTGCTGCAGCAGGATCAGAGTATGCTATTAAAATAATGTCATGTTACCTATCAATAATAAATGACCAGAATAAATTTGCTGCTCTGTGCTTAATAACCCGACCAGATTTCCATTTAAATATCTGCACAGCAATGGCTTCTTGCTCCGAGAGCCTCTGGGATGAATGCAGTGCTGCATATGCAGAGAGCCCAGAAGGAACTACTCACGTTTGACTGGGAAAGAGCTTTTGTGCCTCCGCAAGGCCAAACTGCAGCAGAAAAAGGAAGAGGAGCCTGGGACAGTGAGATAAACCCAATATCAGCAATGTGCTCCTGCATGGGCGCATGGGAGCACCCCCACCCTCAGCTCCAGCTCCACGCACTGCTACAGAACCCAGCTGCCAACAGAACCCAGTGGAAACAGCACCACAGACTTTCATGCCAGGGATGGCTTCGTCCAACAGAAATGCAACAGAACAGCAATGACGCCGATGCTGGGATCCTCCCATGTCACAAGTTGCAACCTCAGATCCCCCAGGCCAAAGGAAGGAATTGACCCACCTGCCTCCATTTGATTGCCTGGAGGGATTCTCACCAATTCTGAGCCCATGCTGTCCTTGGGGGTGCTCTGCTCAATCCTGGGCACGTTTTAGCTCAGATGGCATTGGCCTCTGTGCTAAAGGTGCTGCAGGCCCAAAGAGCTATGGCTTGCAGGTGGGGGCTCCCAAAGGATGATGAAGCAGAGTCCCCACTGATAGGGACATCTCACAGCCACATAAAAAACACCTGCATCTTCAGCAGCTTCTTACTGCAACACTCATAGAAAGGCATTGCAAAAGGGAGACGACTCAGAGGGGAATGCAGAGCCATAAGAAACTCCTCCCCCAAGGAGCTAAAGAAATGGGACAGATGCTTTGAATCTCAACATCACCCACACAGCTGCAGTGCATCACTCCAAGGTTAACCCCCAGCAACAAAAGGGTTTATTCTTAGTGGTGCTTGCTTCTGGCTGATGGAGGTGGGCATTTGGGAGCAACGTTCTCTGCTTGCTGTTTGCATGAGTGCAGGACAGCCCCAGAGGAGGCACACACCTGGCAGCTAATGGCCCTGTGCTCCAGCACTGTTGCACCAGTTTTGTTGCACTCCATCTGTGTGCAGCCCATGCAGATCACGTCCCATGTAGCCTATGTGGATTGCAGCCCAGCAGCCCACTGTGTGCACTGTCTTTTGCTTTTCAAACACGTCAAAGCAGACTGCTTCCCTCCCGTGGCTCTCAGATGTGGTTGCCTTGTTTTAGCCCAAACTTCCCAAATACAAAGTTTCAGCCCGGCGCAGATGCTGACCACAGAAAGCTTTCCCCCTGAGCTAAATGCAAAGTTATAAGCAGCAGCAACAGCAACAAAATGGATTTAATAAAGGGTAATATTCATTATTCTTGTGCTCAGAGCTCTGAAGTGAAACCACCTTCTCAGAGCAGACATCCTCCAGCACAGCTCACTGCTTGCTGATCAAGCACAAGAAGACCATGCACATTTTCCCCTCACAGCTGCTTGGCCAACCCCCCCATCCTCACTTCCACTGCAAGCAGAGTTTTAATTTGAAGTGGTCCTCAACACCTTTGAGCTCTTTGTTCTTCAGATCTAGAAAG